AACAATAAAATAAAAATTACGAGAACTACTCCAGCACAGTGTTCCCAGGGGCTTTGTGGTTGGTGGTCAAAATCCATCTCTTCCATCCAGTAACTTCATTGCACAGGGAGTCTGCCCAGGGGACTAGTGACTAAGAACAGCCACCCAAGGGAAAGGGACTTGTTCCAGGGAATATTAGAAGGTAGAGGCAAAGTTGAAACTAAAACTTGGGTTTCATCATTTGTTCGCTTATTAATTTTGTCCATCTCTTCCTTCCTTCATTTAGTCAAAGTTCCCCAACATTCTTGGCACAGTGACCGGCAGTGGTAATAAACATATGAATACAATAGGGTTTTTCAAGAAGATTTGCATTTAGAGAAGAGAGACTTCTCAACAGATCCTAAGTGTGATTTAGTAATCCTTCACCACAGTAGTAATCACCATCATCACCATCATCACCATCATCATCATCATCATCAAACTATCACCAGCACACACAGGGTTGCCTGGGGGTGTAGCTCAGTGGTAGAGTGCATGTACTCTGCTGAGCCTCCCTGCGCTCCTGAGTTCCATCCCCAGAACCGAAACCAAAAAACAAACAGCAAAACAAAAAAAACCCTTCCGGTTATATGTGTTGAAACAGGGCCTTGTCCCAAGCCCCTTGCACAAATCACCACATTCAACCCACGGCAGGTCCTGTCACTTTCCGACTTAAAGACGGGAGGTACATGAGACCTGCCATGCTCACGTAGTTCACCAGGAAGTCCGGCTCTCTGCTCTTAATCGGCCTTCTTCTGCCCCTCCTAAGAGTCTGTAGGAGCACTGAGAAATCCTCCACCCTCCTGATGCTTCAGGCATCCCACCTTCCACCTGGCTGAGCCACTCCCCATCACCTCACCCCTTCTCCTGCTGTGGACACTGTGTGTGGCTTCTACGGAAGGATGACCATCTTCCAGGCTCCAGCCATCACTCACAAGCTGAGGATAGGCAGATTTCCAAGAGAAGGCTGGAATTCAACCCTGTCTTTATCAATAGAGGTCATGGGAAGCACAAAGTTGCTCAGGGTAGACAGCCCCATCTGTCTCCATGGCCACAACACACAATACGCAATGCTTACGCTACAGCCAACGTGGTTCTTTTTTTTTTTTAACTGTAAAGATGCTGTAGAGAGGAGTTACAGTTACATGAGTAACATAATGAGTACCTTTCTTGTTGAGCATTGTTACTCCCTTCTTTGTTTTTCTCCTACTATCCCTTCTCTCCCCCACCAACATGGTTCTTAGTTCTTGATGCACTGGTTATTATTAATCCAATAGGAATGGATTGACTCTAAAGATGTACCTTGTCTGCATTCCATTCTTCTTACCTGCATGGAAAAGCTGTAAGAGGTTGCGTCATGTTTGATCCCCTTTATCTCAAAGAAGAATCCATATAGAGAAATTATCTTTGAGTAAGTGGTAAAATCCTACATTGGGAAAGAGAAACATCAAGGTGAAGGGAGAAATCTTCAGGATCGAAAGACGAGAGGACACAGCCAAACATACAAGCATATTCTAGCAATAACAAAGAGGAGGAACAATTCACGTGACAATTGATTACTATTGTCACTACTCGGTGACTACTGACTATTGGGATCCATTCCTTTGCCTGTTCCTTAGTGAGGAAGGAATTGACTTGTGGGTGATGATTTGTGGTGTGTAGATCTCTGAAACCAAGCATTTGGTTCCAATCTCATGGGCCCCAGAGACTCTCCCTACTCATGGTACTTGCAAGAAGTTCTAGAACTGGAAGTATGGTTCTAGTGGTGAAGCTAGGCTGTGAATGAAGAAGCTCTGAGCTCAAGGCCCAGTGCCAGCACACAAAATAAAAAGGTCTTGGTCGTCTACCGTTTGCCCACTTTGGAGGGACTGACTGAGGGCATCTCTCAAATGGCACACTCAGAGCCTTGAGTCCCAGAAACATGAATTCTTTTGTGGGCCCTGCTGAGAGCCTTTTCAGGAGAGCAGCCATTCCATGGAGAACAGTGTCTCTCCCAGCAAACCCAAGACACAGCCCAGGCACCAGCTCCTGCCACTGCCCTGTGGCTGAGTGCCAAGATGCAGCAACCCACTGCTTCCTGATTCCAGGATCCAGAAGAATAGCTTCCCGACCAGGCACCAGTGGCTCATGCCTGTAATCTTAGCTATTCAGGAAGCTGAGATCTGAGGATCACAGTTCAAAGCCAGCCCAGGCAGGAAAAGTCTGTGAGACTCTTATCTCTAATAAACCACTCAGAAAACCGGAAGTGGCGCTGTGGCTCAAGTGGTAGAGCACTCACCTTGAGCTAAAGAGCTGAGGGACAGTGCCCAGGCCCAGAGTTCGAGCCCCCCTACAGACAAAAAAAAAAAAAAAAGGATGGCTTCCCAAGAATGAATTCACCCTTCAACATGGACTTGGAGTGGAGAACAGGTAAGATAACACAGGCTTTCCCCAGGCCTTTCCTGGTGGCCTCAAACCCCACGAATACCCTCTTCCATCCTGGGAAAATTAGAACAGTTGATCCCCCTAATTTGGGGCACGTAGATCAGATTGCTAAATGATGTGTCCCAGGCCCTTGTCTTGTGAACTTCATGACCTATGGGCACCCTGACCTCCCTCATAGAGGTCAGCCTGGTCACGGGCCAGCCTACAAGTTTTAGAGGGAGAGCTCTTCCCCAGTGAGGGCCCAGATTTCAGTACCTTGTTAAAGATCATCCCGAATCTCATAGCCTGCGAGGAGAGTTCTCTCAAGTGGGCCATATCGCCCCCGTTCTCCAGCTGGAAGGGAAATGCACACAGCTGACCAGCACCCTCGGGCACCGAGAGGCCTGCCTGTCACCATCTTCAAACCAGGGCCTGGATCCCAGTCCCCGGCATCCTGGGAAGAGAGTTCTGTCTCCAGACTCCACATTCAGTCACTCATCTGATCTACAAGTATGTACTGAAAACCTACTATGTGCTAGGTATTGTTCTCAGTGCTTTCAGAGGATACACCAAAGATAGAAAGAAAACGTGTCCAGGTCTTCTCATGGGGAAATACAATGTGTACATCTGCATCTCAATCATGAGGCAAAGACAGAATTCGACCATTTCACCAAGAACAAGTTCCCACATGGCAGGCTCCACCCTGAGGGCCAGGGAAGGGAGAGAGGAGAAGGGAGGGAATGACTCTGGGAGGGAGCAAAGGACAAAAGGAAAGGCATGGGGAAGGTCAGAGGGCAGGAAGAGGGGGGCGGGACTTCCTGAGGTGTGGGCCAGTGAATGTTCTTCAGCTGTTCTATTGGAGTGCGGTTCTGAGCTGTGTCATGGAGAAGCATGAGTTGGTGGAGTTGTCATTGAACATGGAGAGAGCTGGAGCTTGGAGCTTTGGTTCTCACATCACAATAAGGATTTGTGTAGTTGGCTGCATTTTAACTAGTGACTCACACATCATCAGAACTCGAACACTGCCCTGCTTTAGTTCTAAAAATGCACAATTGGAAATGCACAAAAAGTATGCCAGTGTGCATAGACAATTCACAAAGGGGACATGTGGGAATGCATGACCATATTTACTGGTAATAAAGGAAATACAGATTTTCAAATGAGATGTAATTGTTCCCTTCTTAATAAACAAAATGTGTTTTGAAATTAAAATGTCTAATGTTGCTGAGTATGTACAAAGGGACGAACGCTCATTTATATCTGGGGGAAGAGTAATTTGGCCCTGACATTTATTAATATGTATAAAAGAATAAAAGGAGCACAATCCTTCTTTGAGCATTTCTATCTTGGGGAATCACCCATAAGAAAATAAGTCAAATTATAGTAAAATAAACCAAACCATTATGTGAAAATACATTCTTCACATGGCCAATTATAAAAATAAATAGGAACACCACACATTTTCTGCAATAAAAGAATGACTAAGTATCATTGGCTGGATCACATACTCTTGGTGGGAAGGCTGTAACCATTAAAGGTGCATTTGATTGAGTACATTTTATATCTATATATAGGTATCTATATATCTATATCTATCTATCTATCTATCTATCTATCTATTAAAAACTGAGCGGTAATAAATAGGAGTCCTTGGTTGGTTGATCTGAGAGTACTCATTTTCTTTCTTTCTATGTCTATGTATGTGGGACATTTTCAAGAAGAAGTATATGTTATGTTTGTGTCCTGTAAGGCCTTGGTTTGCAGGGTGGTGTGGTAGCGTGATCAAGTTCTTCCACCCCATGAAACTCTCTGGAGTAGCGGGGCAAAGGCCCTGAGCAGCAGGATCCTGGGGCTGGGCCTTGTCCACATCCTCACAGCTAGGTCCTGACCCCAGGGGCCCAGAGGTTCCAGTGTGGAACACATCCCCAGCGAAAGCAAAGTCAGAGAGGAAGCAGAGTCAGAGAAGTGCTCCTGGTAGGGATGACTCACTGTGAAGTAGTGGTTGGCTGTCACCCGGACCAGCCAGGACTCCGGGAAGAAGTTAATGTGCCTTATTTCCTCCAGATCCCTGCCTGGGAGAAGCACAGAGGGAGAGAGCGTGTTTACGGCTTTATTCATACCAGAGCTGCCAAGTGTGACTTGCCAAGTGTGGCTGAGGCGTTGAGGGAAAGGAGAGGGTTAGTTGATAAAATAGAAATAGATGCCTCAGCATGGCTGGGGTTGTACACAGGCTGTTTCTTTTATACTCCCAGTGCATTCATTA